GATAGGTAGAGGTCCGGAAGGATACGGAGATGCCCGTAGGTAGCGGGAATAGTAATATTAGAAGACAAAGCGTACTATAGGGTAACGACATCAATTATAGTAGAGTAGGTATCCGTACATCTACGTCCTGATTATGTCCGTCCTCTCCTCCGTCCTAAAAAGAAGAAAACTACCCTATATAGCTACCCGCCGGGAGTAGTACGGCCCTTCCGGGCCGTCCGGCTCTCGGCTCTACCCCGACGCCCTACGTAAAAGAAACACGCCTAGCCGCTTAATACTAGTACCCGACTAAGATAAGGATACGATACTAGGGGGATCTCTAGTATATACCCTCTCTAGCAAGAAGGCGATATATAGCGAAAGGATATAAAGTCGGCTAGAAATATCGGTTTGCCGGTATCTCTATAATACAAGAACTGACTAGACGTTGTATAGATTAATAATCGCTATACGTATACTTTCTAGTACTCGTCCTGCTTATAGGCGTTATAGAATTCCCTAAGGCCTATATATATAGCTCTATAGATGTCTAATGCTATAATAGTTATAAAGAGATCTACTAGGTCGAAGAATATTAAGTCCTCCTCCTTCTTCTATATCGACTGTTGTTCGGCTTAGAGGGGAATTATTCTAGTCCGTAACTTAAGGAGGGGTAACCTCGACTTTGCCTACTTCTTTAGAGTAGAAATATAAGAAGGGAGATTAGCAATCTCGTCCTTTAGACTAGGTATATTAAGTATCTTAAGCAGGCTCTTATACTACGTCCGTAATATCGCTGCCTCTTTATACTAGAGGCTAAGTACAGTCGTAAAGCGAGGTAGATTCGGATCGTTCGAGCGGCGATATAGTAGGGCTTTCGATACGGGATCGTATTCGTCGGTCTCTCGTACTCGTACCGGTTTATCTAGTAGATCTAGCTAAGTTAGCTCGCTAAAGAACTACGTAGGGATAGCGGCGAGCTCGGGGTTAACGTCGACAGGCGCTTCGTTATACTAGCCTACGTACTAGATTTCTTCGAGGTCTAGTACTTTATCGTCTTTATTATCTTTGCGCTCTTTAAGAAGTGTATAGAGTAATAGGATATAGGTAGGCTTATACTTAATCTTATCTTTATCCTATTCGATCGATATATATAGCCTACCGAAGTTATCGGCGCCCTCGCTAGCGTACGCCTTAGAGCTAAACCTAAGTCCTCCTAATAACGTATAGTTGTCGGATACGTTGTCTACTAGCTAATTAGACGGGCCTAGTATTAACGGGCCTGATCTGTCTACTTGCTTTACCCGGTTGCGACTTAGGCGTACTACTAGGATACTAATCGTAGGATATAGAGCTATTCTGTCGAAGCGTTCAAGGTACGCTTAGCGTAATAGCTACGAGATAGATACGACGAAGATAGGTAGAGGTTAGTAATAATTAATAAGGTACGGTAAGGTAGGGGTAAAGTGCCGGCGGAAGGCATACATTTCAGTAAGCGCGTTACGCGTAATGCTCGCGACTAGCTTCTTTACTTTACTAGACTTTACTCTACCGACGCGAACAATAGACACTATACGCAACTCTATAACGTAGCAGATCGCGGATTACTTGTAGCTATTCAATATAGATTGTTAAGCAATACGCGTAAAGTTATACGCGGACCGTACTAGTCGAGCTACTATCTTTACGGACTAGTAATATATAAAAAGCGTATCCTCGCTATTAGCTTTACTAGCCTAGGAGGTAGTCGACGTAGTATATTTGTTTATAGCAAATACGCCGAAGTAGAGGCCGAAGACAAAAACCCTACTATACAACGGATCTAGCCGCGATACAATTATAATACTACTATAGCCGGAGGCACCGCTTAAAACACTTCTTCTAATATACCTCCTTTCCTTCTTCCTCTACTAATATATACCTTAGGTCTTACCTACGAACAATTAGGATAGGTCTAAGAGGAAAGCCGACTAGCGGTCGCAAGGCTCCCTTAGCTAGTAGAGGCGGCGGCGTAAGAGGTAGAGGTTAGCATAAAGAGACAGGCTTAAGCTAGGCACCTTGCGGCGGTCTCGGTACTCGTAGTAGTCGTACTTCTCTATAGGACTATACTAATACGCGCGGTAATAGTATCCGTAGTAGTCGTAGTAGCTTCGGAACCCTAAGCGGGCGTAGTAGCGGGTTCGGAACTCTAGGTACTCGTAGTAGACAGGTATAGGCACAATATATATTCAACTTTGTATAGCAACCGATCTAGCCGCTCTAGTAGCCGAACTAAGCAATGCTAGAACAATTAGTAGTAGAAGACGAAGCTAGCCTAAGCTTCCTCGACCCTGCCCTTCGCCTAACCTCTACGCCTTAGACGTAGCGCAATATAGCCGGCTCCTAGCAAACTGGCGCGAGTTAGTATCGTCTTCTATCTAGCGCTACCTAAGCCTCCTAAGGGCCGGCTAGCCGTAGCCGCCTGCCCTAGACTACTTAGTCCGTAGTATAAGGTACATTTACGCTAGCGCGTAGTAGCCGTAACATTATAGTCCCTACTACTACTATCTAATAGTCTAACTCTACTACTAGTCTTCTAAGCGTTATAAGTCAAGGCGTTGTCTCTCCTAATAACTTTGTTATTAGTAAGGATGCCCGTTAACGTCTGCGCTAGATAATAAAGGAAGGCAAGACAGTCGACTACAAGTATAAGATAAAGGGAGTATCTATAATAACCGGCGATTCTGACTTCCTCCTCCTTACTATAGAAGAGAAGGCTACATTTAATACTAAGCTCGACCGTATTGTCCGCTAGAATACTATGCTTGTCTATACTAACCTGAACCTACCTAACGTCCTAGTATTCGTCTTTAGCGACCGAATCGAGCTTAACGGTAAAGATTAGAAGTAGGCCCGGGCTAAGATGCTCGAGAACTATTAGATATATAAGTTCAATATATATAAGGGCTTTAAGTCGCTTATTGTTACGCTCTCTTAGTAGGACAATATATTACTCGAAATTACGGACTAATTATTCGTAAACAAAATAGGTAAAACGTTCAATAGCCCGAACTTCTTTTACTACTTCTACTTTATAAAGAACTACCTTAATGTTAAGGGTAGCACTCCTCTAGGCAAGTAGTATTTAAAGACTATCTACGTTAATCTTACCGTACGAATTCGCTAGTAGTACCTAAAACCTTAGAATAAGAAAGCAGATAACTAGATTAAGGTTCTTGATTTCTTTAATAAGATTGCTCTTCTTCCGGCCTACGACGATATAGACCTTTACGACTTCTAGCAACTTACTTTAACGTTCCGTACTAAGAAGGAGAGTAAGAAGCGCGATTTTGCAGCTACCTAGTAGAGCTACATTTCTATAGCGCTACTACTAAAGAAGGATACTCCTCTAGTACTATCTAATGTCCGTACTAGTAATAATACTAACGCTATCGACGACGACGATAACGACGACGATAAGCTATATTAGGACTCTAGTAATAATTAGTATACTAGCAACAAGCGCCGCTCCGGCAACCGTCCTTCTAACTAGCGTCGTTCTAACTAGCGCCGTTCTGACTAGCGCCGTTCGGACGCCTAGCGTAAGTCTTAGTATAACGACCTTAACGACCGCTATACTACGCTCCGTTACGGCGATACCGGCGATCTATACTACGGATAAGATAAGTACGGTATAGAATTCGATAAGTAGGACTCCCGGCTAGGATTCTTCAATATATAGGGTTAGTAGGTTTATAGCGAGAACGAGGAAATCGACGACGAGGATCAATTAAATAAGGACCCTAGCTAGCAATACCCTAGTAGATACGGTACCGACGGTACTAACGACTATATTATCTCTTTCCCGACTCCGGCTCGCTATAGCCTATACTCGCTTCGCTACTAGTACCGACCTTCGCAACTTCGTTATTACTAACTATATAGCGCTAATTCGCGATAAGACTACGCTCGGCGATAATACTAAGTACGATAACGAAGAGAACGAGTTTGTAGAAGGCGGTGTATTTATAGATAGAGATAGCAATACTACGTAGTCGTTTGTAACTACTACTACTTTATAAGTAAGGACAGAGGCTATTAGGCCTATCTACCTTACTTAAGCAACTCCTAATATATCCGGGATAGAGAGCCTAGAGGTATTTGATAGCGAGAGTTAAGGTGCTCCGGGGTATACTTTAATACCTAAGGTACCCGGTTAGAAGTATAAGGACGACGAGTCAACTTGACCTATAAGCTTGCCTTATACCTATACCTTACCTTATCTAGTAGATAGCCGACTTGAATAAAAGAGGTCTTTTCCTTATCTAGTGTTACTATCTGATATACCGTAGTAAGTGCCTACTAGATATATATATATTACTTCGGACGGGTATAGAAACAGTAGTACCTAGCCTAGGGCCTATAGTTCTATTGCTCCTAACTACCTTTACGTAATTTCCTTCTAACCGTATTTTAATACCGTAAATTTTGTTTTTATATAAAAATAAGAACTATATAATTCAACGTAGTTGTACGAATATGTCTTTACTATACTTATACGTCAAGTTTAAGATTACCGTACTACTATACGTATACTTATCTTGTATAGATTTAAATATTAAGCAAGCTTGAACTATATATAAAAGCGCAATTTCGCGTACGTTTATATAAACTTTCGGCTACAGCGTCTTACTACGTACAACGCCTGCTACCTAACTCCGGTAAGGTAACCTCCTACGAGTCTTTTTTTTTCTTTCTTTCTGTCTTCCGCTAGGTAACGCTTATTTCATACCTGCGATATCGCCTGGGCAAGTTTGACTCTCTCTTACCAATTAGGAGATGTACGGAGTCATCTGCGTGGACGAGAAATCTGTTGAGTTGCTCCATATATTACATCATAACTGCTGACTGCTGTTGCGTATGAATCGAAGCTGGCAGGATAGATAGATGGGTTATGGGATATGATTTGTGACACAACCACAACTCACTTGGAAATTCTGATATAAATTACAGGAAAAGGATGCGCGACATCATGCATTGACGTCCACTCGTAAAAGAAAGCATTAGGTAATCAGATTTCACAGAACCTGCCACAAGATCTCTTTGATCAACCTCATATCCTTCTCTACATCGACCTGCCAATTACTCACGGCAAACTTCGCAGCGGGTCTACCATCCCACACCGTCCCGCTCACATAGATTCTTCTCGTCGCGTTGATCTTCTCTACCAGCGTCGCATTCACCTCGTCATTACTCGCGCGAAATAGTACCACAATGTATATCCGGTTTAGCCATTGTTCTTTCACTCTTCGAAAACTCGGTGGGAATCGAGGTAAGAGCTCCAAAGCAGGTTCGGATTGGATGAAAGTCGCAATAGCTCGGGCTAGGCCAATCTGTTTCTCGAGAATCGAGAGATAGCCATCTTTTCCATGTGCGAGTAAGGTGCTATAGACGGGTAGGGCCCTAAAGCGACGCGAGTTTTCGATTCCCAAGGTTGCTGGAGAGGGGATGTCTGAGTCTGAAGTGCTGAGATATGCTGCCCCGGCATTTTGAAATACTGCTTTGCCAATATCGAGATGGCGAGAGAGGAAGATTCCGCAGTCGTAAGGTACGTTGAGAAGTTTATGTGCGTCGCCGGAGATGCTATCTGCCAACTCGAAATGTTCGACACCTTGGTGCAGGACTGCATATTCGTTTCTATCGGTGGGTAGGATTCGAGCTTGCAGGCCGAACGCTGCGTCGATGTGTATCCATGCGCCATATTTGTCGGCCAGTTCACGGATCTTGACGAGGTCGCCTGCTGTGGTGGCGAAGAAACCCGTGTTGACTTCTCCAGCGGAGATGACGATGATTGATGCTGTGCGTGGAATGGACAGGGCTTCTTCCAGCGCATCGAGAGCGAAGTTCCAAGGCGTTTGGTACAGGCCCAGAGATTTGATGGAGTTTCGGCCCAGGCCGACTATGGAGGCTGCTTTGCCCAAGCACGAGTGTGGGAGGGTAGTTAGGATTTGAATGCTATCGATATTGGCTTTCTTGAGAGCTTCGGAAATGCCAGCTTCAGAGATGTTGGCGGAGGTGTCGTTGCGTTTGGCAGCTTGGGAGATGACCCACTCTCGCCCACACGCCAGGCCCAGCACGTTGCTCGCTGTCGCTCCAGTGGTGAACGTTCGATGTTTCCACTGGTCTTCTGGGAGGTTGACGAGGTCGAGGAGCTGACAAAGAGCAGCTTCTTCCACATCTGTAGCAATGGTATCCCTAGGAAGATGGAGCTGTACATTCTGATCGAAGCGAGTCACCAGTTCATCCGCAAGAGCAGCAGCCCGCGTGGCGCCTCCCGTGACAAAGCCATAGTAGTTGGCAGACTGTGAGCTTTGATTCAGAGCAGGCTCGACGACTTGCTGTAGATGCTTGATGGCTTGTGCTGTTCCCAGTCCGTGGGCGGGAACTGCTCGAATGAGTGATGATCTTGATGCCTGGATGGTGGCTTCGTCGGGCAGGACTGATGTGGTGGACATTGTAGGAGAGTGAGTGAGGTGAAGTGAAGTGAAGTGAAGTGAAGAGAAAAGAAAGAAAACAGATCGACGGAGACCTACCGAGGCTTTGATAGTAGTCGAGCGCCCTCTAGCAGTGACTGGGTCCACTGGTATAGAAAGGAGGGGAGGAGTGGTGAAGGCAGAAGGACGGGAGCGACCCTGGTCGATTGGTCCGAATCCGAGGGAAGCTGCGTTTCGCGTCCTTCAAAAAGTTGCAGCACACAGCACGACAAACACCCGTTCATAGCGCTCGTTGCCAATACAACCACCACCACCGCCGCCACTACCACCTACACCGCCGCCATGTCGGCAGCTCAGCTACTGAATCCCAAAGCAGAGTCGCGCCGTCGCGGAGAAGCGTTGCGCGTCAACATTTCCGCTGGTGAAGGACTCCAAGATGTGCTCGCTAGCAACCTGGGCCCTACTGGCACCCTCAAAATGCTGGTCGATGGCTCCGGGCAGATCAAACTTACCAAGGACGGTAGCGTGCTGTTGAAGGAGATGCAGATTCAAAACCCCACCGCCGTCATGATTGCACGAGCTGCCACCGCGCAAGATGAAATCTGCGGAGACGGGACAACGAGCGTGGTCCTGATGGTCGGCGAGCTGTTGAAGCAGGCGGATCGATACATTGCCGAGGGATTGCACCCCCGAGTCATCACGGATGGGTATGATGTGGCCAAGAACGAGACGCTGAGGTTCCTAGACGAATTCAAGCTGCCCAAAGAGGTGGACCGAGAATTGCTGCTGAATGTTGCCCGGACGAGTTTGAGCACCAAGATCAATAAGACTCTAGCGGAACAGCTCACGCCGGACATTGTCGATGCCGTGCTGGCCATCTACCAGGCACCTGCGAAGCCCGATTTGCACATGATTGAAATCATGACTATGCAGCACCGTACTGCTGCGGACACACAACTCATCCGGGGACTGGCACTCGATCACGGCGCGAGACATCCTGACATGCCTAAGGACGTCCGAAACGCATACATCTTGACGCTGAACGTCAGCTTGGAATACGAAAAGAGCGAGATCAACAGTGGATTCTACTACAACAGCGCTGAGCAGAGAGAAAAGCTGGTCGAGAGTGAGCGAAGGTTCGTGGACGACAAGTTGAGAAAGATTGTGGATCTCAAGAAAGAGGTGTGCGGGACAGATCCGAAGAAGGGCTTCGTGATCATCAACCAGAAGGGTATTGACCCGCTCTCTTTGGATGTGTTGGTCAAGAATGGCATCTTTGCGTTGCGAAGAGCGAAGAGAAGAAACATGGAGAGACTGCAGTTGATCTGTGGCGGTACGGCGCAGAACAGCGTGGACGACCTGACACCGGACGTACTGGGCTGGGCAGGCCACGTCTATGAGCACCAGCTGGGCGAGGAGAAGTACACATTCATTGAGGAGGTCAAGGAGGCCAAGTCTGTCACAATCCTGATCAAGGGACCAAACGCACACACCATCACGCAGATCAAGGATGCAGTAAGAGACGGCCTGCGATCAGTGTACAACATGATCGTGGATGGTAGTGTCGTGCCCGGAGGTGGTGCATTTCAAGTTGCTGCCGCGCGGAGACTCACATCAGATGAGTTCGGCAAGCAAGTCAAGGGCAAGGCGAAGTGGGGCGTTGCGGCTTTCGCAGATGCTCTTCTCGTCATTCCCAAAACCCTGGCAGCAAACAGCGGGCACGACATTCAGGATTGCAGTATGTCTTCACTCCCCCTCACTGATTTGGCATTGCTAACATGTACATAGTCGCTACACTTCAAGACGAACACGCAGACGGCCACGTCGCTGGCCTTGACCTGACACTTGGCGAGCCCATGGACCCAGAACAACAAGGTGTCTTCGATAGCTTCCGAGTACTACGAAACAGCATTGCCAGCTCGACTGGCATCGCGTCGAATCTTCTGCTCTGCGACGAAATGCTCAAGGCGCGGCAAATGGGCAAGTCAGGGCCACCAGGAGGCGGTGGCGAAGAGGAATGAGCGAAAGCAGCATGAAGTTGACGAGAGAAGAGCCAGACGACGAAGAAGAGTCACGATCTGCCAGAACATTGTGTTCAAGCACTAGAAAGAATTGTAGGCAACCTCTGTGTGATGGCCTAGAACTGCCAGTGCCGCAGGAAGGCTCGCTCGTTCTATATGCTTGGCACAGAACGCGGCTCATGTGCAGACACGATCGTACTCCCAAAATTCTAGAAAAAGAAACCCTCATTGGCTTCGCCTGTGGCCACGTCTATCACCTGTCCTGTCTCCTAGACGCAAACCCGGATACACACGACTCACCTGAAGCGGAAGATTTACTGGCGCAAATGCATCGAGCTGCTGCAGATGACGATGAAGGTGGAGGTGGAGGCAGAAGCGTCGGAGCGAAAGTGGCTCATGCTCATGTCATTGGTAATGTGGTCAAGGGTGGATGTCAGAGATGCGGGCTCGCTGAGGGGGCATGAAATGTATGTATGTCCATCAGTCCATCATACTGCGAAGAAGAGGGGGAAAGACGGAAGGAGGGAAGGAAGTCATATCATTGCAGAAACGTAGGTACTTGTAGCCAATAGTGTGTATTCAAGATACCCAGATGACATATGTACGCGACGTGTGCATTGTGGAGGAGGAGGAGGATAAGTATCTAAGCGATGGATTTTGTGTAGGAGTAAGTAGTATGTACATGTACCTGGTAGGTAAGTAGCAAGTAATAGCGATGTAATACTATTAATTTATAGATTGAACAAAACACAGCGGAGCCGACGTGTATATACATATATGAATAATTAAGAGGACCTTCTAACTTTTTGTTTTCTTTTCAGTCGTATATAAACAGTCGTAAACAGTAGTGGTACTACCTCCCGGAGATAAGAAAGAGAATGACTTCTACTCTCGCACTAACCCCTTATTACTTACTTGCCTGTCTACAGTACCTCGATATACTGCCAACGACTTCGTACTCAGTCGATAGATAGGCGTTCACTCGTTCATATAGAGCTGCAATTCTCTACCAACAATAATGATGAGGTATTATTCATGCATACATACGAGGGAAAGGAAGACGGATGAGTGCGAGGAGATTTGTAGTGGTGGCGCGAGCAAGGCACATTGCTTGCCAGTTCGCATCTGGTCGCTTGTGGGTTCATTTCGACTACCTATCTGACATGCCTCTCATATAGGAGTGAGTGAGTGTAGGTAGTTCACCCGAAATCAGAAGTTAGTACTGGTACCCGAAATGATGAGGAACGGGGAGCGAAGTAGTGGGACAACGACAACAAAACATACCATCTTCATGAAATACATCATCACATCCAACGCAATGTCCCGGTCTCGTGGGCCGTTGAGCCACTTCACTCTTCTTCGTATTCGTGAGGCGATTCTTTGGTACTGGCAGCAGCTCTTCATCAGGACCAACTTGTGTCGGAGGATCCACGACGGCAAGATTGACTTCCTTAGCACTCTCATGCTTGACCTCGAATCTCACGGCCTTTTTCCTCCCTGCGCGAAGGGTATCCATGCCCATACTGACTTCACCTCGAAGCACTCTCGCCACGCCTTCAGATATGGAGAGCTGAATTTCAAATTCTCGCACGAGACGCTGAATGCCACTTTTCAATCCGGGAATCTCTAAGCCCTCGGGGATGCGTCGGACGACATCGATAGGATCGAAAGCTGCTGCTGCACCAACCTCTTCTAGAAGTCCACGAATGAAGGAAGGTTTGCCCATACTAAAGTCCAACAGGTCGTTCCAGAGATCTGGATGTTCTTTTGCAAACGCAATAGCTTGTGCGACATCACCCAATTCGCCAATGATTAATTGTAGAGCTTTGCCGGTTTGACCAGTTTGGCTGAGGATATGCACTAGTTCGGGAATGTAGTGCCTTCGTTCACATATTTCGGCCGCTTTGTCGAAGCTGTAGACTTCGGAGGACTTGAGGAAGATGAGAAGAAGCTCACGATCGTACTCTGCGAAAAGTCGAATGGCGAGGTCGGCGTGGTCATTGACGAGCATGTGGCCCTCGTCTATTCGGCGATCGAACTTTCGGCGTGGAGTGGTGCTGGAGTTGGCCGGCGAAGAGATGCCATTCCAGAGAGCGCGGAAATAGAAGAAGAGGAAGGGCTGAAAGTGGTCGCCTTTCTGTTGCAGCTGCGCCACGACCTGCGTGGTGGGAATCGTTCCGCGGTAGGCTTCCTCGACCAGTAATTGGACTGCTTCTGTGCTGGCTTCCTCGAGCTCTGTCAGTGGCGCAGATCGTATCTGTTCTCTACTGACACGCAGCATCAACAGTCCAGGTATATCATCAGCAACAGAATCGAGAAGCTTTTCTTCTCTCATTAGACTGAACGCCTTTTCTGCATCTTGCAGCGCAATATAGCATCGTAATGCATCGACGGCGCGATTATCTGCGATATAGAGCCGGGCCAGTGCATCCATCAAGACTCGCCAGTCCCGTCCTTTCTCGCCATCTTGTTTCGTGTCTTGTGTTACCTCACCACTGTCAAGACGGTCCTCAATGGCACTAATGACACTTCGTACGTCGAAGAGCTCCGGGTCCCACTTGTCGAGCAGATCGGTCAGACGAGGCACATCCTTGACGATGTAGTTCGCAAGGCATACTTCATATACCAAGCTGGGCAGAGAAGGCTTCAGCGTCGTGGATGGAATGTAAGGCGTAATCTCATCGAACCTGTTGGCCTGGGCGAATGTCCACACCCAGTGCTCCCACCGACTGCTGGTACCTAGAACCTTGCCCGCGACTTCGCCCGCACGCTCCCATTCATCTGCTGCCACTAGTTGCTGCAGCCAAAGATCGCCAATGCGCCGCTTTTCTCTTTGCGGTGCCGAGTTGTGAGCACGCAGTGCATGTGTCACCCCAGTTGCCTGTGAGCTCGAGTCGGATCCGAAAAAGTCTGCTAAACTTTGGTTCGTACCCGTCTTGTTCGGAGTGCTGGGCGTGGAGCTGAATGACTGCGAATCTGTTGTGGAGGTGTCGACAGCCTCGGGATTCTCGTCAATCAATTGCCAGGCATCGCCGTACCGTTGATGCTCAAGCAGCCATTCAAGATGGTCGGACAGCTCTCGCTTGACAGCCAGCACACAATCAAAGGGGCTATGGATGAACAGCTTCAGACCGGGCTCGAGAGAGTACGGGTGAGCATCGACATTTCGTGTGAGAGCGGGGGTGGAAGTGACGTCCATGCCAGAGCCTTGGCGGCCAGTAGAGGCGAACGACATGGCTCTCCCGTTTGCATCCCGATCACCACTCCCTCCACTGAAGACACTGGCGCTCGATGAGAAGATCCGCGTGGCATAACCTCCACTGGTAGCTGCAACATCGCGCGTGGCATTCCATAGTTCTCCCAGCTTGCCTCGCTCTTCCCGCGTCGCTTTCTCAGGAAGTGGAGGTGGCATGTACAGTGTTCCAAGGTGGTAGTCCTGCGCAGAAAGAGATTCGTAACGAGCTACAGCCAACTCATCGAGCTCTACTTCTTCCCCGTCTGTCACATTGACCAGGCGGAGGTGTGGTGCAAGACTGGTGTGACGATGCTGACGACCGGACTTGGTAGGCGTGTCAGACCTGTCGTGGGTGAGTGGAGCTTGCATGATCGGCTTGTCGTCGTCGTCTCTCGTTCGGTACGCCAGAATCGCCAGTAGAGAAGGCGTGTACAGGCTGATGCCAGAGATGATACAATCCCTAAACTGCATCTTGTGTATTATGTCCGCACTTCCGACCTGCCTCTTCGCGTTCGGGGAAGAAGGCACAGAGCTTCCGCATTGTACGTGCAGTATCCAAGCGGTGTCTCCCCAGCCGACGACCAGTCTTTCGATTTTCTTGTCTTTACTCAGCGCAGTTGTCCCATTGACACCTTTCGCTTTCTCTTCGTCTCCTCGCCCCGTGGCTAGGTCATCACTTTCCAGACCATTGTCGTCAATCCACTCGCATCTTCCTTTCCACACGCCAGCCATATCCTCCCATGATCTGCGATTGGGCCTTGCTGCGTGGGCGATTCGTTTCCATGCGTCTTCCTGGTTCTCGCTGCCCAGCTTGAGATGGCTTCGCATGATCTTGATGCCCTCTTCGTTCACCCAGACCACCCACTTTCCACTCAAACTCCATTTGATGGTGCTGATCGCTCCCTCGCCAGAGTGTAGGCTCGTGTCGGTTCCAGTATTAGCTCCTAGACCAATCGAGCCGAGCCATCCCGATGCTGCTGCGGCGGCACTGTTCGTGTTTGCATCTATGCTGACGCCCGACTTGCCGCCTACTGTCAATACCAACTTTCCAGCTAGCCCACCAGAGAGATATGTTCGATCATTCTTGTATTCGGGGGAGAGCGCTACAGCATTGAGTGGTCGAGCAAAGTTCCGGAGCTGGACGTCCTGGGGATCGATGAGAGACTGTATGCAGACATGGCCATCCTGCGATGAAGTGGCTATATAAATCTGGTTATTCGGGGTATTTGGCACAGGCGACTGTTGAGCGCGCTGCGCTGCTCGTGGAGAGGCTGTATATGTCCCTGATCGTGAAGGGCCAGCCAGCTTCTTCTCCGCAGGTATAGGCGCCTGGAACAGAGAAGCTGAGCCGTCCTTCGACTGTACGAGGACAGGCGGAGGAGGCACTGGCGAGACAGCGACACTGGTGACACTGGCCGAGTGCGCCTTGTACGTCCTTAAACTTTGCAGCGTAGGTACAGCTAGCACGTGTACGCTTCCATTCGCCGTTCCAACGACCATTTTGTCTCCCCAGACGCCAAACGCAGTCGTGAGGTCGCCATTCCGATACACGTTGGCCAGAGTCCCCGTCAGCTTCGCGTACTTTAGCTTGGGCTCGTCATCGTCGTCGTCGACCTCCTCCTCCGCCCCCACATCTTCCTCTTCACCGTCGACTGCATTGCGGACAGCGCCAGCGTTGTTGTTGGAAGCAGACCGCTGCCGTCCGTTGGGGTCCTGTGCCTCGGACAGTGGGGGCTGCGCAGACATGCTGCATCACCCATTGAGGCGAGTTGTCACCGCCGCATATGTGGGGATGGGAGTATGCGTGCTCAAGGAAGTCGTTGTGACGTTGTTGGTAATGTAGTTGAGTCGATACACTCAGAGTGGTGTCGCAGTCGGGTGATGTCAAGCTGAAGCACCGAGCTTCAAAGTTGTGAACTGGACGCGGTGACCATACATGTAATTGACATCCTCCCTCACCTCACCATCCTTTTCCCTTTTCTTTCTCCGACATCCATTGCTTCCAAGGACATGTCCATAGCGTTCCGCCCCGTGGCCATCCAGCGATCCCTCATCACTCTCTCGCCGACGCGCCCTTCGCCTGTCCGCCACCGGTGTCTGCCACCACCGCATCGTCCTCGCACAACAGCGGCGTGCTTCTTCTCATCGCAGCGTATCCCCCGACAAGAGCAGAATGTTGCCAGTAACAGCAATAGCGAACACAAGCAGCCGCGCAAGGCTGCCAGTAAAAGAGCAACCAACAACTCGCTCCGCAAGGTAGCAGTGGCCGCGCAGAGTCAACGCAATGGCCTCATCCGTGGCAGTGGGAAGATGCGCCATGTCGATCCCGAAGCAGACACGAAAGGAGTGACTGCTTATTGTGCGGCAGAGAAGTACAATCTCAGCAGGGCCCGATGGGAACTTGAACGCGGAGGCTACAAGCCAGATCCTTTTGGCACAAACCTCTTTCCCCAAGTCCTTCACGTACAGACGCCTGATGATATTGCAACGCATGAGACTACAGGTGAGGACAAACCACCAGGGCTAGGCGATGTCTTTGTCTTCCCTTCAGGTTGTGTAGTTGCCTGGAACGTGCCCGACAAGCTTGCACGTAATATCATTGAACGCATCTTGCCATCTGCTGCTGGTAAGCACTTTGACGTTATTTTCTTTTTTCCATATTGCAGCTAGTCTGCTTTCTACTCTAGACTCGAACAAATGGACATGAATCTCTACATATGTCTGTGAGAGAAGCGGTAAGATTGGCAGCCTAACTTATCGCAGGAGAGACCAACCATCTGGAGAAGATGGAAATTGAGGACCTGGATTATGTGGAAGATGCACAGAGAGAGTCGAGCCAGATTATCGGAGACACCATCGTGCTCGGTACCAAGATAGAGCAGTCGAGCGCAGGTGGCGAGAGAGCATCCGAAGTGGACACCATCCTAGCCAAGATTGCTTTCTCTTCAGCTCTGGCACGCTCCACCAAGTTGGCAGTTCTGGAAAATGCCCTGTCCAACTACTTTGCAAAAACTATGTCCATTCCTCTCACTCTGAGTTCGGGGAAACCACTCAAATATACACAGTCTGAGATTCTCCAAAAGACTGGGGAGCTTTTGCTCATTAGAGCACAACTCAATCTCTACTCCGAGCTTACCGACAGCTTGCCCGATCTGTTCTGGGACTCGCCTCATGAACTCGGTCTCGAAGGGTACTACGATATGGTGGGCAAGGCACTCGACGTGGGCGTGCGCATCAAAGTCCTCAACGAGAAGATGGATTACGCCAGTGAAATCGCCGCAGTCCTTCGAGAAAGGCTCAGCGAGAAACACACTTCTATGCTGGAATGGACCATCATATGGCTCATTGTCATTGAGGTCGGGTTCGGCGTGGTGCATTTGTGGTGGGACAGCGAGGAGTTGAGGGAGAAGAAAGAGGATCGGAAAGTGATGGAATTGCTCGAACAGTATTTGGAAAGAGAATTGAACAAAGGTTCTTGATGAGAGCAGAGTCATCAGGACGGCGATAGAGGAAGTGTTTGTAAGTGTGGAACTCATGATACCCCACTCAAATGTTGACATGCTTTTGGCACCGTTCGTCAGCTTGATGTAGCATCTACTCCCCGCAAGAAGATACGACTGAGAGTGGTGGGAGGCAGACATGACATGACATTATGCTGGCCCTTGCCAAACTCCACAACTGTTGAAGGACAAGAAGCAGATGTGAATGTCTGCTTGGCGTAGGAAGAGAGCCGCTCCCCTCGCATAGTGGCATATTCCTACAACTACCGCATCCTAGTCGCGACAAGCCATGGCTGTAATTCCAATGCGGACCACGATGAACCATGAAAAGCTTCGCATGGGTGTGCCAAATTAATCTGCTGCAGATGGTCAGCATCCGCGAATTGTACGAAGGGTCCTGACTGTATTACTACCACTGACTGTTGCACGACTGACTGGGCTTGACTACAAGGACTACATCATTGCCCTAACTACCATATTGGCGAACAATCACAAGACCGCATACAACTTCCCACGACTCCCCCATAATCATCATTCAAACTGGCGTCGCTACCCTCCCTCCTGTTGTCCCTCGGGCTTCTGCTCGCCAGCAGCAGCAACATTCATCATGCCGCCCTCGCCCACTCAGAAGGCTCGCACAGCCTCGCCGAGGAAGTCTTCGAACGCCAACAATGGCTGAGGATGAAACCCCGAAGCGTCGAGTCTTGCGCTGCCGAGCTACAACGGAGAGGGTTTGCAGACGCGGGGATTGCGAGGAGGAGAGAAATTGCAAGAAGTATACAGGAAGAAAAGAGAAGACGTGATCTGGAAGATTATACCTTTTCCCATTTCGCGTTTCCTCCGGAGGATGCTATCGATAATGAGAATTTGTTATTTGAGGATAAGAGCGGAGGTTGCGTGCTGACACCGGAGGTGAGTGGGAACATCTTCCGTCTTCTCTGCCGAAGAAGAAACCCGCATACCCGCCGACACTTACTTACTTCCAACCTATTGTCTTGTTGTAGGTTGACGGCTTGGGACATTTCATCGCCGGCGAACAAATACGATCGGATATAGCGGAGAATCAGGCAGGCGTGCCCATGAAGTTGGAGATACAAATCATTGATACACGCAATTGCCAACCTATTCCCGACGTCTATCTCGAAGTCTACCACTGCAACGCCACCGGAGTATACTCAGGCGTACAGGCTCAAGGGAATGGCAATGCAGATGACGCATCCAATCTCGACGCTACCTTTGGGAGAGGAATTCAGCAAACTGACAGCAACGGGTACGTATATGCTCTTCTTAACACAAAAACATTCCCCATCGGTCCCGATTCTCCCCCTTTTCACGATCGCAGAAAAGTAAAAGATATTGGACTAACCCCCGAACCCCCAAATCCACAGCGTAGTAACCTTCAACACCATCTTCCCAGGCCACTACTACGGCGTCGCCCCACACATCCACATCCTCACCCACAGCAGCAACGACCCCGTCATCGCCCCCACCGACGACGGAATCCACGTCCTCCAAGCCACACACAACGGGCGCATTTTCTTCGATCAAGACCTCATCAACAGCGTAGAATCTCAAGCGCCATATCATGACAATACGCAACCTTTGACGTTGAATCAGGATGATCCTGTTTTGACGCAGGAGGCCGAGGTGACGGATCCGTATGTGAAATATGTCCTGCTGGGTCAGGGCGGTGTGCAAGATGGGATTTTGGCGTGGATTACTGTTGGCGTGGATCCGAGTGTGGTGCATCCGATGCAGTATGAGGGAAATGGGAGGGCGGGGAATGGAGGGGCTGGGGTGGGATTGAGGAGGGGGTGATAGTGGTGGTGGTAGTGGTGAGCGGGTAGGTAGGTAGAGATGGATAGGTGAGATGGATGATATGATGAAGATGAAAGAAGGTCTTCGTGAGATGATTATCATTATGGCCTGCGATTTTCTTGTTGATGAACCCTACACTCCCCATCCCAAAGACCCGATCAAGAGAAGACAAGACATCTGTTTCTAGTAATCGATCATGATTCGACAGCTTTCAATTAACCAACTCGGAGCGCAGCAGAATCCGGAGTACAAACTACATGTTACTTGTAATAAGGAGGTAGTATCCCAATTCCAACCTTCACGGACTGCGACCGTGCAGCAATCCAACCAAATTCTAACCCCATTTTCCCATCCACTGATCAAATACAGCCAGTTCAGTACATTGTTCAGCAACTTCACGGCATTCACATCCATATATTCATCCGACCGACCTGTACACACAGTGACACAGATATATTAAGGTGTACATATATGAGAAAGGTAACCCGTGAGATCCGCAAACCTCCAGCTCATACTGTAGGTACTCATCCTAGCCTTGCCTTGCTATTTGTTGAAGCCTTGCTCAAAAGTCATCAAAGCTTGGGTAAGTAAGTATGAACCCGGTCACGGACATGGTCAGTCAGCATGGATAAGCTGGAATTTGGGATAATGGATGGATGGATGCTTCAAAATTGCTCTGCAGGTAAAGTGGTAGGATGATGATTATTATTATGATGATGATGATGATGATTGTTTCTTATGATTTGCTGTCTTGTCATACCTATACTTGTAGTGTGACATGCAGGATGTACACATGAAGCTTGCATCGAACAGGATGGATTGTGGATTATGATTTGTATGCCAACGGCGTTGTTCTCTTTTACTCTCACACACACACTCTCTCTCTCGCGTTTATACAGGCAGTACATTCCTCCTCCCTAGTGGTTGAAAATGTCCCGCCTCGCTAGGGCGGCCGGCCTGCTTCTTCTCCTCATCCAACACTACTCCCACCCCTCTCAAGCAGCACCAACGCAACAAGAAGACTCCGAATCCCCAAACTCCTGGTCCACCTTCCCCTCTCTCAGCCTAGGCCCCCGACAAGAACATTCCGTAGTATCCACCAACGAAGCCATCTGGGTCCTAGGCGGCACCATCCCCGGAGGCGAAACCGTCTCGACGATTGAATTTTTCAATCTCGCAGATCAAACCTGGCACTCGACTGCAACACCTTTCTTGCAACCCCTCAATCATCTCAATGCCGCTGTCGTCGCAGACAAAATTTACATTCTCAGCGGTCTCGCTCCGAGAGATTCTTCCTGGGACGCACAAGATCTCAATATGGTATATTCCCCCACCGAAGAAGATTCGTCGTGGACTCCACTCGCTGCTTCACCACCCGGGACCGCGCGAGGTGCGTGCGCGGTGGGTGTATATGGCACAAAAATATATCTGGCGGGCGGAATGACGTATTTGAATTCTGCGCAGGATGTCGTGGATACGGTGACGGTATATGATACCGCATCGGATTCCTGGGAGATGTTGCCGGCGCTGCCACAGCCGAGGCAACATGTGGCGGGGGTGGTGATTGGGTCGAAGTTTTATGTGTTGGGTGGGAGGACGGATGGGCAGTTGAAGATTCAGAATACGGTGTTTGTGCTCGATGTGGAGAATGTAGGGGATGGGTGGAAGGAGATGGCGAGTATGCCTACGGCGAGAGGAGGTTTAGCTTGTGCGGGTGTGAAGGAGTTGATTTATTGTTTGGGAGGGGAAGGGAATCAGCAGAATGAGAGTGGAGTGTTTGGACAGGTGGAGGTGTTTGATACGGCGGCGAATGCGTGGACGAGTTTGGCAGAGATGCCGGTTCCGAGACATGGTTGGGGAGTGACGGCGGTGGGAGATACGATTTTTGTGCCTGGTGGAGGAGTGAAGGCGGGAACTGCTCCGACGGATTATTTTGATGCGTTTACACCGTAGGTTTCGTTTGTGGGATACTCTAGCTTCTGAGGAGTGGGAGAATATCATTGATGTGATCGTATCAGCGACTTTGAATGGAGTGCGAATATTCTTGAGTGTTTGTAACACGATTCTCGCTCGTACCAACGAATATGGTCTTGTTTTGCCATCTTCTAGGATACAGTAGGTGTATGAGGTCGTAGTTCTTGAAACCGTGATGAGAGAAGCCGGGATTGTGGATTTTTGTAGTATACCTGTGTTATCCCACCAGTGGCCTCTGGTCTTGAATGTCGTGACGTTGGGACCAGAAGATGAAGTGAAAATACGAAAGTCGAAGAAGCAAAAGGGCACCAGAAGTGAAATCTCGGCGCCAAGACAATAGTAACCAGCAAACCACACCTCCGTCTTCAACCAGTCTACTCTCCTCCCATCGATTGCCCCCGACACATGTCCAATGATGCCTCCTCAAAAAGTCGAAAAGAAGAAACGACGCAACAAGCGCAAGTCGCGCACTGAAGATGGTAATCCGTCTTTTTTTCCATGAATCTACCGCTCCCTCCCTCAACGACCAGTCTATACTAATTCTTCCGTAACACCAGTCTCTTCAGCCTCTTCTTCTTCTTCTTCATCATCTTCAGACACCGACGAAAGCTTAACAAGTCCTCCCAAAACAAAACCAGCGACACATCCATCACCACAACACGAAGAACAAGAACAAGAACAACAAGAACAAGAAGAAGAGCAGCAACCTTCCACCCTCTTCGCCCCCGCAAAACCTCAACAACAACAACTCCCAAACCCAAACAAAGAAGCAGAAGAAGAAAAAATTTCATTCGAAGAATTCTACCTCCGCCAAGCCACACGTGAATTTGCCAATGATCTCGACAAATTACGTTCAGCAGGAGATTTCCACGCTGCGAAAAGTGTGCCGTTGTTGATTGCGGCGTTGAAGCAAGGGACGAAAGTTTTTAGTTTGGAGGAGAGGAGGAAAGTTGTTAGTTGTTAGTTGTTGTTGTTGTTGTTGTAAGTTAGGAGATGGGAGGAGGAGGAAGAGGGGAAGAGGGGAGGATGGTCTGATTTGGTGTGAATGTGGACTTGTACGTGTATTAGTACCATACATAGGTAAATGCGTAGGTACACAAAGCTCGAAAGAATGTGACAATATGATGCACCTTTCAAGATGCGATGCATATCCACCTCCCTCCCTATACACCCTTCACATCCACACCTCCATCTCCATCTCAACAATCCCTCTCCCAAAACAACCTCGCAAAAGTCGGCACTGTATCAAAACTCGTAAAAACCACCTCCTCTTCTCCCCCTCCTCCCCCTCCTGCCATACTACTCCCTGTCCCTATACTACTATCATTCCTCATCGTCACATTTCTCCAGTCTGTCAAATTCCCACTTAAATACTTGCCCGCCGCATCCGCAAAAAAGCTCGTAACATAGACATCCACCAACACATCATCACTCGTAATTTCTTCCGTGGAAACATTCGCCGCGACGTAGTGGCCCGCGGGATATGTTTCTTGATCAAAATGTAAAGTATTATCGCCATCTTCGCCAAAGTCGTCCGAAGTGTAATAGCCCGGGGTTTCCCAGAGGCCGGTGGAAGGGTCGTAGATGTTTTGGTCGTCGTTGTTTGCTTCTGCTTCGCGTTTGTAGACTTTGTCCATTTGCATATTAGCGAGAATGTTTTTGGCGACGCCCCAAGGGGCGGTCATGTATTGCCAAACGTTTTGGTAGGGATTGGCTTGGTAGGCGTTGTCGAGAGTGAAAGGTCCTTGGAGAATGTCGTAGCGGAAACCGCCGGTGTTGGTCAGGATGATGCGAGGAGTGTTGTTGCGGTCGGGGGCGTATACGACGGCGGGGAAGACGGTGGTTGTGAGCCAGGTGTAGAGATTGTTGGGGGATTCGGGTGGGAAGCGAGTTTGGTAGTATGAGTCCGGGGCACACCCAAGCAAGTTTGTCAGCTGCGGAAGTGTGCTGAAGTTCAAGGTGATTTGACGGGAGATGCCTTGGCCGTATGAGGTGTTGAAGCCTTGCTTGAGAGAGGCGACGTGCTTCTCGAAGGTAGGTCTGTTGAAGTCCAAGTATTGACGAGTATATGTCAGGTTGGATGATGTGGATTGCGTGAAGTTCAGCTGCGGAATGGGTGAAGCTTTGGTGACCTTGATTGTTCCACTTCCTTGAGGAGACTTTGCTCTTGTGACGTTCGAAGGGAGCCCATCGATGGTGGACCACCCCACAGTCTCACAATATCGTCCAGCAGCAGTGCCAAAGGCCGTGGCGTCCCAAGCAACGGCATCTCGGATGTGGCGATGACCTGCAAATATCTGGATTGGTGTCGTGGGATGGTACTGACGAATTGCAGAGTAGATTAGATCCCACTCTGTGGACTTGCGAAGCGTGATGTGGCCACTGATCACGAACATATCAATGTCCGTCCGGCTCGCTTGCTCTTTGAACCAGGCCTGTTGCACGGCAGTGCCGACGGGCGTGACGATGGTGGCGTTGGAGTTGCCAGTGAAATTGACTACGGTTGAGCAGGTGGGAGGGTCAGCAAGCGATTATGGAAATGCCTAGTACCTAATGTCTGTCTCTGAGCTCTGAACTCTCAGTAGAGGATGATCTTGGCGAGGCATCGGGGGTGGAGGATGCATTCGAGCTGTGTTCGACTCACAGATAAAAGCAAATGACATGATTCGAACTCCAAACTTCGTCTGCCAGTAAGCATAACGATTCGAGAACGGTTTCCGCACGCCGTCATCGTAGATGTCCACGTTACTCGTAACATATCTTCCACCCCAGTTTGGTGCGAAATTTCGGTACGTGTCGTTGGCAATTTGAGTGGTGTACAACTCGTGATTTCCTATTGAGAGCAGGTCATAGGGGAGTTGCTTGAAGATGGGGAGGGTGAATTTGCCGTTGGGTGTCGTTGCATCCCCAAAACCTGTCCCATCGTGCAAGTCACCGCTGTCAATCAAGAGCAGATCGACGCCGAGAACGTCCGCTTTCACCTTCATCTTCTTGACAAAATCTGCGAAATCGCCATAGTCTGGAACGGGAATGTGTCCATGTCAGCGAGTATCATCCACACAGCATGGGGAAATGTCTGTTCGCTGCTTTACCGGCACTGTAGTTCTCGTCAAGCAAGTGTCCAGCGAGCCAGCCATGCGTGTCCGTCGTCGACAAGAAGTTGACCTGGCCCCAATGAATGTCTTTGATCTGCTGAGGCAGCGTCGGCAGAGCGCCAGGCTGGATTCGCTTTTCGATCGTTCTCGTTCGATCATGTCTGCTCATCAAGGCGTGATTGACATAGCCGCCCAGGAGAGGTGAGGTCCAGTCATGATCTTCGCAACCTTCCGCCAAGAGGACAAGCAACGACACTGCTGCAGTGGCGAGTTTGCCCAGCATTGTGCACGCCGGTATGATTATGACCCTTGTTTTCGAGCTCTATTAGGGCCCTTCGTTAGACCGGGAGATCTTTTCGTTTGATTATTGAGGTGAGGATATTGAAGGCTACTTGCATGGACATTGATTGAACCCTCGTCAACCTTTGAGAAAAAGGAGCTGAGTGAGGGAGTAGAATCAGGATGGAGTGTTGCAAGGAAGCATCGTAGCAGCGTAAGGTATATTACATGTACCACAGATAAGCAGGTGGGACTGGTGACACAGTCACTACGGCCAATAAGAGAAGCCTTCGCAACCACGAGACCATGAATGTTGCATTAGCCTACAGTAACGTAGGTCAGTCCCTTATTCAAAGTTGATAAGGTAATGGGTAAGGGGTAGAAACTTGGAAGTTGGCGAGTGCCGTCAAACTTTGATGGAGATTTGATGGTCATTTTCATGAGAGGCGGGACCTCACTCCCGTCGGCGGGACGGGAATAACACACAGCTCGTGTACACGGTCCTGCTGCCAACCGACATGCTCGGCCACATCCACCACGACATCACGAAGCTGTTTGCAGAGGAGATCGCCATGTTGATCATGATCTCGAGCATGACAATGGCGACCTGAAGGAGATGACAGTGAACAACGAGATCTGAGCGTTGAGGACGACGCGGAAACATGATGCCGATCAGAAGAAGAGGAAGAGGAAGAGGAAGAAGAAGAAGAAGAAGTTGATGATGACGACGAGGAAGAAGATGAGCAGCATAAAGCAACGGCGGACATGTCACCATACCCGCCCGCGGCGTCAGTGAAGTGAAGAGCGGGATCGGGTGCAAAGACAGCCATTGAGCGGACCAACACTGTTCTACTCGGATGTTCATCAAGAAAGGGACCTCGCCGAAGTGAGTGCTCATCCCGGTGCTTCCTACGGAGAGCGCTTTCCAGGATGGGACAGACGTCGTTTTATCAAGAGGTGTAGATGCGCGCACGAGAGATCCGTGTCCGCCGAATGATGTGAGATGGCCAAGGTCAATGGACAGTAGCCTCAAAAGAGAGGATTATTGATTCTTCTGGGTAATGCACACATCTATGTCGTCAGGAGAGCTTCAGTGGACTGGCCTACATCCCAGCCAAATTCCAGTGCGTTGGTGCTGAATGTTGCACTTGGAGCTTGATCGGTCATGGAACATATCTCGACCTAAGGACTACTTACGATCCTCTAGCGAATAGCGAATACTGGTAATACTGGCACAAGGTGGCACATGGAAATCAAAAGGAAAAACGAATAGGTTTTTCTATCAGCGCCATGCCACCGATTGATGCTCCCATGCTATGCTCCCATGCTGCGCCTCCATGCTATGCTTCCATGCTATGCTACCTGCCATAAAATCAAATCCCAAACAACCAGGAACGAGTGAGATGATAGTTCCGCAACCCAAAACAAGAGTCATCCAAGGAAAAACGGACCAAATTTTACCCGACCAAGTCCCTCGGGCGGCCAGTCACTGAGCCAAGCTCATGCCTCGACCTCCTCCTCAATGCCGTACAGCTTGCCGCCCATGATGAACCCGAGCTTTGCATTCTTAGGAAGCAGCTCTGGTGCAGGCACCTCAGCCTCGCGCTTGGTGTTCACCGCGAAGACCTTACCGATAAATCTACCAAACCAGCGCATGTCGAGTGGCTCTGGGGCGGCATCGCGCTTCTCAGGAGCCTCGATGCTGTCGTCGTAGAGGACGAACTCGATGTCATCTTCTGGGCTAGCGTCACGGGCCTCCAACCCAGAAAGATCGCGCTCCAACGCCTTGGAGAGCGTCGCAATGCGCTGTCTGTAGCTGTTGAACGGCTCTGGGCTGGCATCGCGGGTGACGTGTACTCCAGGCTCCAGCACAGGACGCGAGCTCCCCAACGCATTTGAGAGCCTCGAAATGGCTCCTGCGACGCTGGCCTCTGGGTCACGGGCCTCGATGTCAGCGACATCGCGGTCGAAGATCTTTCCAAGCTTGCCAATGGTGTTCTTGAAGGTGAGGAATGCCTCTGGATCGGCGTTGCGGGCCTCAACATCCGTAAGATCGCGATCAAACACCTTTCCAAGCCTGGAGATAGTGTTTCTGAAGGTGGTGAATGCCTCTGGGTCGGCGTCGCGGGCCTCAATAGCCGTAAGGTCGCGGTCAAACACCTTTCCGAGCCTCGAAATAGTGTTTCTAAAGGTGGTGAATGCCTCGGGGTCACGGGCCTCGATGGCAGAGAGGTCGCGGTCGAAGATCTTTCCAAGCTTGCCAATAGTGTTCTTGAAGGTAAGGAATGCCTCTGGGTCGGCGTCGCGGGCCTCGATGGCTACATCGCGGTCAAACACCTTTCCAAGCCTCGAGATAGTGTTTCTGAAGGTGGTGAATGCCTCTGGGTCAGCGTCGCGGGCCTCTACAGCCGCAAGGTCGCGGTCAAACACCTTTCCGAGCCTCGAGATAGTGTTTCTGAAGGTGGTGAATGCCTCTGGGTCACGGGCCTCGATAGCAGAAAGGTCGCGGTCGAAGATCTTTCCGAGCTTGCCAATGGTGTTCTTAAAGGTGAGGAATGCCTCTGGGTCGGCCTCACGGGCCTGGATGGCTACATCGCGGTCGAACACTTTTCCAAGCCTCGAAATGGTGTTTCTGAAAGTGGTGAACGCCTCTGGGTCCGCCTCAGCATCGCGGGCCTCAATAGTCGCAAGATCGCGGTCAAACACCTTTCCGAGCCTCGAAATAGTGTTTCTAAAGGTGGTGAATGCCTCGGGGTCGGCTTCGGCGTCGCGGGCCTCAACGGCGGCGAGGTCGCGGGTGCCCCACGAGGTTCGGAGTCGTCCGCCCCTGTGCGCGAACCGTGCCTCTGGGTCGGCTTCGGCTTCGGCGTCGCGGGCCTCAACGGCGGCGAGGTCGCGGGTGCCCCACGAGGTTCGGAGTCGTCCGCCCCTGTGCGCAAATCGTGCCTCTGGGTCGGCTTCAGCTTCGGCATCGCGGTCGAAAATCTTGCCAAGCTTTCCAATAGTGTTCTTGAAGGTCAAGAATGCCTCTGGGTCGGCATCTCGCTTCTCGAGCTCGACAGATGTTTGCAGGTCAGGAAGGTCGAGGTATAAGGCAGGCTCTGGCTGAGCATCGCGTGCCTGAACTGGAGCGCTCAGGGCGGTGTTGGCGCAGAAGGCCAAGATGGCCGCAGCTGTCGAGGCCTTCATCTTGAATATGGTATTGAGAGTTGTTTGGTCGAGGGTTGAATTGTTGACTTTTGTTGATGTGGTTTGTGGTGTTGTGTTGGTTGTTTGGTGGTTGTGATGAGGATTTCTCAACCGATCCACCGTCGACCTTATATGCCATGTGATCCGTGGACGCCTCGCAACCTCGCATGTCAATGCGAGACACCATATCGATGCACGATATACCGAGCCACACAGCTCCATGGAGAATCATAACGGGCTTAGCATCGGGGACTTGGCATCCACTGACTTGGCTCTCGTTTCAGCCTCCTATGAATACCGGGCTCGCAACTCTCAGGAACACTGCATGGAAGAAGAGTAGCCGAGAGGAGGCCCGCTGTGCTTGATCTTGCAGCGATGCTGTGGTCGTCGTCGTCGATGCCTTCTTGGCTCTGCGCTGCGCAACCAGGCTCGGGAAACCTCGTAATGTGCTCTGTCGTGAGAGGTGAAGCACGTGAGGGAGCCTTTCCCCGGACCGCAGAGGCATATAGCGTGTTTGGCGAGAGGAGCCCGTTCGACACGCCATCTAGAACTAGTGGGTTGGTGTAGCCAGGCCCTTGGGTGCCTAACAAACTCGCGAATAGTCGTCGTTCTATGGGGCAAGTGATGCAAACAACATCTTTATGGTGATGGAGACCTTTCGTAGCCCATTTTCTTTCAACTTATCCTACTAATCCAGTGATGCTGCAGCAATATGGTGTCTTGCTTGCATAACCGGCAAGAAGAGCAAAAAAGGACCATTCCCTACATACATGGCTCCATCTTGGGATCGATCTATGGCTATGACATATCATACCTCTACCTAGCACACACCACCAGGTACTCCTGCGGGACTCGGCCTCTCATTAGCAGTAGCAGCAGCTATACGAACGATATGCGAGGCATGAAGCATGAAGTAAACACTCTGCTATAGAGCTAGAAAAGACGACGACGACGAATTCCCGTCTTGTGTGTAGAGGGTTATTGGGAATGGTGAGATACCTGTACCTGTGGCAAGGTAAAGTTAGCATCGATGATGATGAAATTGCCCGACGACGGTCAGTAGAACTAAGGTAAGGTCAGGTAAGAGGTAATCCAAAGGTGGTTACTAGGTACTGTACGTCGAAGCGAGTGCGTAGTCCCTGGAAGCCACATCGTACGTATACCTGGTACGGGTACGGTACATATAGAGGGAGGCATTTTTTTCGACCCAATCACGGGTTCCGGATAGGAGAGACTTGAAATACCTTGTTGTCGATCAATTTGATGCGATTCGATTCGATTCTATTTTGCTCGTCTCTACCTTAGGTATTCTTGGATTCTTGGAAGACATTCCTTTTTTGGGCTTTGGGTTTTCTGCGAAAATACACAATGACAACGACATCGACAACCAACTGCCAACTTGACACATAATACATCAGTAGAAGTTCCTCTCTCTCTCTCTCTCTCTCTTTCTATTTGCCTTGTAAACAAGACATGTAAGACAAGCTACAATACACAGTAGTATAAGGTAGTGTATATGCTAGGTAAGGTAAGGCAAAGTATTGTAAACCACCCAAATCGCCGAAAATCCCGAATGAAAAAAAAAAGAAACACGCCTGCAGGTCTCTTTTGTTATGTCTCTCCGGGGCTTTTTGAACTAAGTAAGCAGCTCTTGGCGTAGATTGTACACTTACATGTACGCTACGCTACGCTACACTGCCCCTGCGCTACCTCTACTACTACTACTACTACTAGGAGCAGGCAGCAGTAAGTAACAGTAAGTAAGCAGTAAGCAGGAGAAAACAGGCAGCAGATCTCGTTTATGTGATGCTTTTCGTATATACCAAGAAAAAAAAGAAAAAAAAAAGAAAAAAAAAGAAAAATCCTTTGATAGCAGGTAGGTAGGTAAGTAGGTATTTACCGTCCAACAACTCCTCTTGACTTTCTCTCCTCCTCCCCCTCCTATCTCTCTCTCCAACGACCTGCCTTGCAGCCAAGAAGATAAGGTACCTAATTAGCCAGCCATCGTCTCGTCGTCACACCAAAAGCCACCAAGACGCCATGAGATATATAAATACACAATCTACCTGCTGACTCATCAAGCCGTGGTGTCGGAGTGGTTAACGAGTCAGACTTGAACGCTTGCTGCTTTGAGATATCTGATGCCTTCGGGCGCGCAGGTTCGGTAGGTTCTTTACCTCCTAATCTGCTCAAATTCTGAGGATTTCTTTCTAACATATGGTTGTAGAATCCTGTCCGCGGCGTTACTTTGGTCCGCTGTAACCGCAGGTTACATTTGAATTCTTTTTGGGGTTTGAACTTTTGATGGGGTGGTTTGGTTTTGTGGGGATAGAGGAGGGAGGAGGGAGGAGGGAGGAGGGAGGAGGGAGGAGGGAGGAGGGAGGGGATTATTATTGTTTTTTTTTTCGAGTCTTTTTATTTTGTGGATGGATGTGCTTTTTTTTTCTGGGGGGTGATTTGCTTTGAGGGTGCGCATCTCGAGGGCGGATTTGATTAGATGGGTTTTTTGTAACTGTCTGTCTGTCTACCTGTCGTAATAAGGAATTATAGTAGAAGAAGAATACAAGGAGAAAAAAAAGAGACAACCAGTTATATAAAATATATAGATGAATAAATCAGGTACCTATCTTTTATAGCAGAGATCGATGATCGACTAACTGACTAACTAACTGACGGGCTGTTTGGGGGAAATGATATATATTGTAAGATTGCAATCGCAGACTCTTCTCTCCCTCCCTCTCTATTGTGTTCGTATGTTTATACAAGGTATATAAAGAAGTAGAAGTAGAAGTAGAAGTAAGAGTAGAAAGCAAAAAAGCAGGACGCTCAATCCAAGAAACTTCTACCTTATAAACTGATCAGACTTCTATTCGAATCTATCTATCTATATTTATGATGTATACTATAGTGTATCTAAAACCTATACCCTATATGTATGTATGTATATACACAACATGTCCAAAAATTACCCATCTATACAAAAGATAGGTATGTAGTCTATACTCCTTCTACAAAGTAACCTATCTCTTTCTCTCTCTCTCTCTCTCTCTCTCTCTCTCTCTCTCTCTCTCTCTCTCTCATTTTTCCTTACCCCCTTCTTACCTCACCTCACCTCGAAGTACAAATTTTGCTCAATTGCGTTAGAGCATTTGTTAGATCTCGTCTTGCGGCGAGTTCGGTTTGTTGGGATTCCGAGTTGGTGGTGTTGGAGTTGGAGTTGGAGGGGGAGGGGGAGGAAGAAGAAGAAGAAGAAGGGCGATAACATTGTCGAATGATGGCGAGGAGGGAGTGGTAGAGGATGTATCTGTTGTGATGTGAGTGTGGGGATGAGGAGGAGGTGAGGAAGTAAGGAAGAAGGATTGTTTTGGTTGGTGGAACCAAACAAGATGTGTATATCATCGATGGATGAATAGGTAAACGGAGAGTGAAGGGAAAAGAAAAAGAAAGAGAAAAAAAAAAAACGTACAAATACTGCCTCACAACCTCCTCCCCACTCCTCCGCTGATTCTGCCGCTGCCCTTTCCCCCCCAAAAACCCCTCCAAAAACCCCCCCATACTCCCTTTTTTCGAAAAATGATCATAAAACCCATCACTCATCCACTCATCTCCCCAAATCACACCACTCCAATCCAAAATCCCCGAAATTTCCCACTCATCTTCACTTCTTCTTCTTTCACCAGCACCACTACTACTCTCCAACCGACGCCGCTGCACAAGAATATTCCTCTCATCTATCAAACCCTCCAAAAACACCAATTTCGGCTTCGTAATCCGGTCCAAAGAATTTCGATTCCGCCGAACGGTTTCGCGGATAAAAGCATAAGGGAGATTGATCAGAGCGTCTTCGGCGTCGAGGAGGAGAGTTTCGAGGAGGGTGGTGTAGAATTGGGACCAGGTAGTGAAACGCGATAATTCAGAAGAAGAAGAAGAAGAAGAAGAGGGGGGATAAAGAGGGCCGAATGGTTTGGTTTGAGGTTGTTGAGTGGTTGATGATGATGAAGAAAAAGGGGAGAAGGATATTGTGAGATTCCGGTAAAAAAATCCTACACGCTGCTGGATTTTCTCGGAGGGGGTTTGGGAAAGTTGAGGAGAGATTTCGGATAGGAGATGGCCGTGGAATGGGCCGGTGATGATATATGGTGAAGGATCGATTGGAGTTGTTGTCGTGTTGGTTCGGTGATGATGATGGGGAGAGGATGCGATTAAGCGTGGTATCATTCTTGTCGAGGGCATTTCTGATGATTTCGTCGAGGAGGAGGAGTGTAAAAGGAGGAGGAGGGTCTGGAGAGTATATGCCTCTGTTCGTAATCGATCTTCTTCATGGCGTAAGAGTCGGATCGCGGGGCTGGAAGGGCGACATTTTAGGATGTAGAAGGTTTCTTCTGTTGTTGTTGTTGCTGCAGCATGCGAAGAAGGCTGCAATTTATAATTTCGAAATAATGTCCCATGAATTCGATCAATGGCAACAGACTTGGTATGCAAAGCTTCGGCAGCAATCCGTTGAAGGGACTTGCGATCAGGTGTGGAGGTTCGTGCTGCTGCTGGATTGGCGAGTGTGGACATGTTTCGCATATCGATTGAAATTTCCGGCGGCGAAGAGACGACGCTGCGTTCGAGAAGAGCGACGGACATGTTGTAAATGTACTGGTAGGTACCGTAGGTAGAGGGAGTGCCACACCCGTACGTAGTCAGACTTCAGTACCTGAGGTATATGGAAAAAGAGTTGAATCGTTATACAAGCCACTACGATCAGCGTTCCAGATGAACGAATGAATGAATGAATAAGATAAAAACAAAAAAAAACCCGCGTAACTAAATAGCCAGATAGACAGACACCACATTTCTTACCTCATCCAAGTCCACGTATGCTCCAAGGTCCATGTCTCTGTAGCGAAGGTGCATATGCGCAGTCGCTTATAGCGAGGCCAAACAGCAGCCTTGGCGTAGGAAAAAAGGGAAAAAGAGGCGAGTTCAGAACCGCTTTGGAGGTACCGAAGCGAAGGAAAGCTACTTAAAGGTACGGTATGCGCCAAGTGTATGCACGCCTCCTTCGTCTATCTGCGCCGGAACTGATGTTAGTGCCGATCGATCCCTTTTTTTCCTTTTTCGCTGGGAGGTACGGAGGATTTTTCTTTTGGGCTGGATGTGATAAAAAGAAAAGGGAATTGATGCAAGTGAGAAGCGGTTAATCAATTTATCTACCTTATTTATCAATTACCTACTGTTGGTACATCTACCTACCTCCTCTCCTGTACCTACCTCCTCGATACCTGCATTTTCCTTTCGTTAGTGCCGTCGCTTTCTCTTAGTAGAACTAGAAGTCATGTACAGAAGATAGTTCTAGTAGCAGCCGGATTATCGGCCCTCGTACGCGAGACCAGCCAAGCCTAAGCCACCATCATTCATGTGTACCTGGTATATGTATATATAAATCTATCTTGTTGCCTACGACCTACCCAAGACCAACTCCGTCGAGCGCAGTCTCTGTGGACTTTGTTGACGTGTTCTATTGCAGAGTGTCATCACTCGTAACGCCTTATACAGTAGGTAGGTCCCTAGGTAGGTAAAAAGGCATCGTTGGTGGATCCACATCTGGCATGTGAAGTGATGGCGTTCGCCCCCGCCCCCCCAAAAGGAGACGCCTCCGTTCCAACAAGCGAGAGATTAGATTGAAATAAAAGAAAAAAGAAGAAAATATCCGATTCAACTAAACCTCCTCCCTCGTTTGTCTCCGCATGCATGACTTTCGCCTGTTTTTTTTTCGCCCCTTCTTTCGTGACGTGTTTGTCTGTTTGACAATTTCAATCATCATTAGCCGCCAATTTGCGATAGTAGGTAGGCAATAGTGATTTTTTTCCTTTTCCCCATGCAGTATGCAAGTGAAGTTTTTGTTTTTTTTTTTTGCCTTGGCGTTTCGAAGGACCAAAAAGTTAAGTGTAGCTGTGTTGGAACCACACACCACACTAGTGCCCAATTGAGAAGATTGATGGAATACCAATCAATAAGTGGATTAATTGAGGTCCGAGGTCTGACCTCTCAAGAAGAGAAAAGAGGGGGGGTGGGTATCCCCAACTCTACATACATATGCCAAGGAATCAGTGGCCCCTGTTATCTCATATGACTCATGTCACATGATGCTAGGGCACCCATGTCCTTCTGTCCAAACACACCTCCCTCAGCTTGATTACATAAGAAAAGCTGAAATACCAGATATGGTGACCGTCCATCTCAATCTAATGATTAACCATGTCTATATCCTTACTTACCTGAGCCCTAGGCTTGTCCTGAATGACTGGAATGACCCCTTGGGGAGGTTCTTTGTGAAGCTATCAGCTCGTTGCTTGGCAGTACCAATCCATTTAACGGTTAATCTTCCTGCCATTGTTTCCTGTCTTACCCAGTGTTGGTGGATATCAACGTGTCTCAAAGCCGTGTTGAGAGATCCATGCTTGTGATTGGCGATGTCCACTGCACGTTGGTTGTCACAGAAAACCTTGGTTCCACCTATGGTTCCATCCTTGACAGGTTCCCCAGATGGCTCATTTCCAGGTGGAAATACCTTGTCAAATTCCGAGAAAAGTCGAGTCCACCAGTACCCATTACCCGCAATTGATGAGAGTGCCAACAACTCTGCCTCTGCGGTTGATTTGGTGACTGTCTTCTGCTTGGTTGCTTGCCAATCAATGGCTCCACCATACATCATCATCAAGAATCCCTGAGAACTCTTCCTGTCTGGGTTGTCACCAAATGAGGCATCCACATACAGTTCCATCTTGGGCTTCTCCCTATGGAAGTGGAGCTTCATCTCTCTAGTACCATATAGGTAGGCAAGCAGGTGATTGGCAGCGTCCATATGAGCCTGGCTTGGGTTCTTCAAGAATTGAGAAAGAGTGGCATGTGCTTTTGCTACATCAGGGCGTGCTAAAACAGCAG